AATTGATGCGATCCACTTTGAGTAGTAGGTGTTTCTAAGTATTACATTATTGAAAGTGTGCAATTGTGATTGGAATTGCTCCCATACAATTGTCTAAGTACCAATTGGTCTCCTTTGCCATCAGATCGGTGGAGATTCATTCCAATATTTCACTTCTTTGTACCTGCATCACATTGTATGCTGCATACATTGCATATAAGAGTGGAATTGTGGACTTTTTACCTGTAACTCTCTTGCAAACGTGTTTGTATTAATTGTATGTTTGCACGTCCTGCATCTTTTGTCTCCAAAAAGCTGTGGTATTAGGGCTATTTTTGACTTATTGGTACTTAATTGATATCTGTCGAGATGGGACGTGAGGATGCGTGCTATTGTTTGCACGTTTACTTTTTCCAATACAGAAAAATCCTTTAAGATTGTCTACGATATGTAAGCAGCTAGAAGGCGAAGTCAGTATAATCTCTTTATCTCACAGTTACTATTTGATTTGTTTAGCTATATTGCTTTTTCCTGATATAGTTAATTGTAATTATTATAAAACATAATTTCCTTCGCTAAGTTTTGATATATGAATTTAATTTGATTATATATATATATATATATATATATATATATATATATATATATATATATATATATATATATATATATATATATATATATATATATATATCAGTAGATGCATTGAAGAAGTCATTTGCTACAAACATTCAGGTTTATCGGCAAGGAATTCTTGTGAATCGATATCGTATTGCACAACTGATACATGCATCAGCACGTTAAACTTTCCTAGATATTACCTGTATCTTCTCGTTGTTAAAGGACTAAAGGAAGATATAATAAAACAATAACAATGGCTTTTCAATGATATCTTTAAACCGTAGGGTTTGGTGATCAGAAAAAGTGACATGATATTTTGATTTGTGTGCAAAAGAATTAACCACACTATAATGTCTACAGCATATTGATTTGTATGTAAAAGAAGAAACACTTTTAACAAAAGATGAAACCTAATTAGATCTGTATAGATATATAAATTTTTTTATGCCATGTACATTTCAAGGCATTTTTAGTTGTGGATCATTTTCGCTAAATAATAAGTTCAATTATACTTTTGATAATGTGCAGAAGTTATGAATTGGGAATACGTTTGTTGTATTTAGTAAAATGAGAAAATTATCTTTTGTTAATGATCCCCTAATGTCTAAATAATACAATACCAACGTTTTAATTTGATACTAAACAGTGAATACTTAGATTATTGGCTTTACACCCAGATTACTTAACAGTTAGTGCATGAGTCATTAATGAGTTTTTAATCCTAGTTTGGTTGCATTTATCTATATGGACATAGACAATACATTGACTAATATATTGCTTGATCGATCTTAAAAAATAAAAGTCAAATTAAATATTCTGGTAATTTTTCTGGAATGAGTCTAAAGATTAGATAAAAGAATAGTATGAATTCAAGATTATTCAAAAAGATGATTAAAATGTTTGAGGTCAGAACATTCATGTGCGCCTTAAAAAGAACCATGATGCGAAGGCTTACTCTATTATTGTTAATATCAAAGGTAACATTGAAATTTTATAAGCAGTTATGTGATAACGGAATTAGTGGTGCTAATAACTTTATAGATTTTAATAGACCATTTCACAATTCTGTGTAACATCCTCTTTGCTTAAGTCCATTATTTAAATGGAGTAAAAATACCTTGTGCTTTGTGATGTGTTAACTTGGATTAGTTATAACAATTATTTAAGTACAAAATATACAATAAGTCAGTCTCAAAATACCGTAGGCTTAAACTTCAAAGCAGTCACAAACCTAAAATATGCGTTATTTCTGCGTGTAATTGTCTCAATCGATTCTACACGGAGACTGTTTTACTCCGAATGACTTCTAACATTTGTAGCTTTTCAATGTGTTAAAACCAACATTGTTTATAATGGCTGATGAAAATTCTGTTCATTTACCTGTTTGACTCTTTTGATAATTTATAAAATTCTATCTATGTGAAATTTTTTTTTTACAATATCAGGGTATCATGAGTTTTATTAAAGCCTTTGGAAAATTATATGATTTAATACAGTTACCGAATTATATACCTTAGAGACTATTATATTTGCATTTAGATAGGAAAATTATGGTAATTTAGATGCAAGTTTTAGTTCGGAAAAACCTTACTAATCATAGTAATTGTTTAGGATCCCAGTTTGTACCATGTAATACTGGTCACAAATATCTTCTTGCTTACGATATTATGAAGACAAAATATATTTTGTTATATTCTAATGAAGATGCCGCAGCCAATATACATTAATTATACTAGTGGATAAAATTTAACTTTGTTGGGCAGGGTTGTTTGACTCTTTCAGGAATTAATTATATTTCCACTTTTGTAATCTATGGAATATACTATATTGGAAATAGATAAGAAAGATATAAGTTTTAAACAGAATTCTAGTGTTAGAACATGATGTATACATAACTCCGGTGGCTTAATGGTTAGAGCGTCAGCCTCGGATGCGAGATGTCGTGGGTTCGATCCCAGGCCGAGTCATACAAAAGACTTACAAAAATGGTACTAACAGCTGCATCGCATGGCGCTCAGCATTAAGTGGTTAGTGTTAGGACTGGACGGCCTGGTGTCAGGATAATGTGACTGGGTGAAACATCATGTTACATGTCTGAGGCATGATGCCCCAGTGCTAGACATCACTATAAACTGTCACACTGCAGACATGGTAGCGATATGACTGAGAAATTGTTAAAGCTACGTTAAAATTTTAAATCATTCACACACACGCATCATGTTACATGTCTGAGGCATGATGCCCCAGTGCTAGACATCACTATAAACTGTCACACTGCAGACATGGTAGCGATATGACTGAGGTAACTGTAATTGAACTGTAATCTGAAATACCTTTTCTGTATATTATCAATATCCTCTTTCAGGCGTGTATTTTCACTTTCCTTCTGCGCAAGCAAATCTTTGGCTTTCTCCAGCCTGAAAAATGAGGTACGTTTGGTTTCTGAATCCATCACAATAGCTATCTATTGTTTTTAATACTTTTGCTCGCATGAGATTTTGAGAACTATAATTTCTTTAATTTTCTTAAAAAATATTGAAATTAAAAAGGAAATGTTGAAAGACGTAAAGATTATTTGAAGGTCACATTTGAAGGTAAAACAAAGTAATGGATATGGATGCTTATTAAAATAACATTTATTTGAGACTTTATCTGTATTTCCTTTGTAAAATATTCTCAAAGAAAATAGAATATGCAAAAATTAGATTTTGAAGAAATATGAAAGCAATCTTGTGCTGAGATGTTTCACCGAGATTCGTCTACGTGAGATATAAATTGAAATAAAAATAATATAAGGATCGTTCCAAACTTGTAAGTTATTAGTGTTTTGTGTGTGTTTTCTGTACCGTCATTAAGACAGCCTTTTGGCATTTAGTGACCATTTGCCGCTACTGATACTTTTTTTAAATAAACCAGAAGAAAACGTGAAAATGCTCGGCTAACTTATTACATATCAATTTCTTTTAATTTCTCATTTTCAAATTTGAAACATTACAAATAATTAAAACAAGACTAAGCAGTAAAGGGCGAATATTTGAGAAAAGCTAGATGAATAAGGGCATTAGAGTTGTTGGATATTGAATACAGAGAGTTATATCTGTCAGCTCTAGTCAGTTAAGCAAAACTTTTGTCCAGTCACACGAATCTATAATGGTGTACAGCCAATCGCTGACTGACATGGGCCACGTGCGATTCACATTTCATTCGTACGGCCCGGATGCATTATATAATATCAGCTGTAATATACTCTTCAAAAACTGAATATTGTGTCGACATAATAATTGAAGGTCGTTCGTGTAATGGTTCATTATGGTATGATCCACATATCTTGTTAACATAACTAATACAGTTTGTTCGGTTAATAATTCATTATGGTTTGTACTAATGATGTAAACATATTATCAAGTATCTGTCCATATCAAAGAGATTAGAAAATGCTTTAAATATTGCAATCCCAGAAACAGCAACAAATTATTAGTTAACTCTATTAAATGATACTTATTTTTTATTGTATTCATATCAGATTGAATTTAGTAGCTGCAATAATCAAATGTACATTTATACTTATCCCTTTGTAATGTCACGTGACTTTGTAAAGAATTTAGGAGATTATGACGTCTTAAAGGAAGATCATAGTCAAGGAAAAATTGCAGTTTGAAAAAATTTCAGGGCAAAAATACATTTTTAGAATAGTTATTGAAACAAATTAATTTAGATAAATACGAGAATAGAAATAGACGATAGGCAACAACATTTGGTATACATATGTGAGGTTTAAACGTGAAATAACTAGATCCTTTAAAATAGAAACCAGCCCTCCTGTTTATTTAAAAACTTACTTTTATGTTGACAATTGACCATATTATCACAATTATATCTTATAAACAATCTTGGCACGTACTCTGCTTTTATGTTTTGAATCTCTTCATTTGACTGATTGAGTTTTGTATTCTCCTCATGAAGTTTCTGTATCTCTAGCTGCTGTTCCTCTTTCTCCTTTAATAAACCGGTATTATGTCTGAAACATAACAATATGAGACACCATTTGACAGACGCTTTTGAAGAAGAACTGCATACAGTTTAATTAAAATTAGAATAGTACAACTTTTGAATATTGTATTTTCGTAAAGAATTGATACTTATTTCATTGCCAGTCTGAGCTCTAATAATAGGTCTACTTATGTGATTATGTAATATGGTCTAATGTAGAATCGCATTTAAACAATAAGATCCTACAATTTCAATTTTGTCTTGATTTACTAGTCTACTCAAAGATATAACTCAGTTTGTTATTCTTCATGATTACCTTTAGGAGATAAGTATATATCCTAAAGACGTTGTGTCTTATCATTCATAAACTTGCATTTAATTGATATTGCTTATATAAAAAAACTATTACTTACATGAGTATCATAACATTAATGATAAATGGACCCAATCTTTGAACAAAATAATGCTGCATACGTTCACAAATACATGTAGCTATATATCTTTAGTGTATGATGCTGTACGCTAGTCTTTATTGCTGTCTTTGAAAATCTCTCGAAAAATATACTTAGGTCTTGATAAATATTTAGTCTTAATTTCATATAATTTAAAATAGAGAGAACAAACGAAAACTATTCACGAGAACTGATATTAATAGAATTAAACAACATTTGTCATCAGCTGGATATAAAAATGAAGCAAATGGTTAACTTTAAATGGATTCCCTAAAGGCATAAAAGAAGATATCAAGACGAAAGAGTTTTCACGCACATGTGAAAGTGTTACATTATAAAATGACGTGCTTTCGGTATCATGACAATTAGAGATGACGTTTTGAATAAACATTTTATATTTGCATTTGTCAGCGAAACGAAAAGCTGCCCAGAATAAAATAGAGTCAAAAATAAAGAAAAACGAAACATATCAAACTAACAGCACAACTAACTAACTAACTAACTAACTAACTAACTAACTAACTATATATATATATATATATATATATATATATATATATATATATATATATATATGTTTTAGAAATTTAAAAAAGCGAACAAGGACACATGTAGCTACAAAACCCACTATAGCGCGTTGAACACGATAGTGACTAAAAAGGATCTATCTATATCTTTATGGCGAATTCTGGTTACTTTGGGTGCCATTGATAGCAGTACATTGTTTTCCGCTTGTCTTATTTACATCCCTGACACAACTTTCATTACAAGAAAAGAAAATAGCAGTACAATTATATTAAACGTAATAGCGATGGTAAAACAAAAAATAAATAAGTAAATAAATAATAATAATAATAATAATAATAATAATAATAATAATAATAATAATAATAATAATAATAATAATAATAATTCACTAAATTAATGATTTTCTGAGTAAACGTGTAGGGCAAGGTGTTCCAGAAAGAGCGAAAATATGCTATGCATACTGCCTAATAATTTTTATATTTAATTGGGAAACATCTTAATAAAAAATGTTAGACTTCTGACAATCATTATTTAAATAAATCCAAGAGTTGCATATAATTAGTTTGCAATGACACTGGTGTTTACATTAGCAATTGTTCAACTGTTGACTCATACTCCTTAAGTCTCCTCTTCAATTCACTTTCATCGACCGTGTCCTTGCTTTCTTTTCTAGGAAAGAACAAAATAACGTATTAATTATTTATGACATGACGCAATTATTAACACTTTTCTTGTGAAAACGTGAATTTCTTTCAGATATTGTATGTAACGAAAAGAGGCACTTTACAACATGAATTATTAATCCGTGTTCTCTTATCACATTTATAGGATTTGTATATAAATCGGACAGCTTGCGTTTATATCTGTCTGCTCTAATCAGTTGAGCAAAGCTTTGTCCAGTCATACGTCTCTACAGTAGTTCACAGCCACGTTACACATTAACTCAGTTCATATGTTTACGAAAAAAGTATGTCTTTTATAAGATTAGTCTTTGTCTTAGAACAATTATTGCACTTTATGAAGATATTGTATAAAAAAACAACAAGATCTTTAAAGTAATGCCAGGTATGAGTATTAACAGTTATGCTTAGTAAAACATTCTGAAGGAATATCAAGCTGCCATAAAACTGCGCAACTATTACAGCTGTATGAACATCCGTTTTGGCTCGACATAGTTACAAAGATGACCAAAATCAAGATGGATTTTGTAAACCTATTTGCAAATTGCAAATACCGGATGTCTTTAAAATGTACTTAATATATAGAGGATCTCAAATGGGTAACGATTTAATATTGAATTTATGAAACAAATTGAATAATGTCCAGCTTTTGCGAGCCTTGGCGAGCAAAAGCTGGACATTGTTCAACGAGTTTCATTAAAATCGTTACCCATTTGAGATTCTTTTCATCACATAGTTTTTATTTCAGTGGAGATTATTTAGATAGATAGATAGATAAATAGATAAATAGATAGATAGATAGATAGATAGATAGATAGATAGATAGATAGATAGATAGATAGATAGATAGATAGATAAATAGATAGATAGATAGATAGATAGATAGATAGATAGATAGATAGATAGATAGATAGATAGATAGATAGATAGATAGATAGATAGAAGAACAAATAATTTCATTCATTCTGACAGACGGTGTACCTTTCATTTGTTGTGCATAAAATATAGTCCCAAACAAAGGTGAATTGGTAAAAGTAGATTGTACTGTTTTACAAACTATAAATCAAAGAAAAAGCTTCCATCCGAATAAACAGAACATTTTATAACCACAAAATCATTTTTCAAAACAGAATGATTAATGTGATGTGATGCTGCAACATTGTTTCATACGGTCCACTCACAGTACAGAAGGCCGACAGTATACGTGTGTTTAAGAACTAATTGTAAAAGTTATATTGTTACGATTTTCACGTGAAATAGGATTACTGGATGCAAAAAGTCCCTCATTTACTGCAATGCATTTGTGACCTGATATAT